ATACAGGATGAGAATTCCCACTCCGGGAATGCCAATGTATTTAGCAATCGAAGAAAATTATGATGGATGTAATAAGGATGCTCTTTATTTCGATTGCAATAGTACAAAAATTGTATACAAGTACAATTTGAATGCTCTTTTAGACTTGTTGGGTATGCCAAAAAAAAAGACGATGAGTACAACAGTGCACTCCTCTGGGAGTCTTGTTCATTTGAAAATCCAAGAGCAATTGCACTCTACAACTCGGAGAGTACATATTCTACATACAAGAATCTTTATGTTTGTAATTATGGAGGGCATTTCGTGTCAATGTTGAGATCAGATTCTGGACAATTGGTTCAAAAGATCGATCTGTATATTCGCTCTCCATATGGAATAGTGGCCATTTCCGAAAACGAGATTGTCGTGAGTGATTTTACAGATAATTTTGTGCGAGTGTGGAGGTATCAGAGCGACAACGGGCGTTGGCAACAAGTAGTAACGATAGGCAGTGTTGGAGAAGCACATTGCCAGATTCGCTGGCCTCAAGGTGTTGCTTTTGATCAGGCTTCAAAGAATATCATTGTTTGTGATTCTGGAAATTCTCGTTTACAAATATTTTCAAAAGATGGAACCTTTTGAAGTTATTCGAGTTTTCAAGCCGTAACCACTGCCCTGATGGGTTATGTGTTAACAATCATACTGGAGAGTTACTTGTTTCAGATTACAATGAAAATCTTGTACACATTTTCAAATAATTATGAGGAATGACTCGTAAATTGCGAAGAAATACGGACTACTTCAAGTGGAGTTTATGAATGATAAAGAATTTATTTGAATAACATTAAAAGTATTTGCAATTGCACACGTCGCCGTGAGTTCTTTTTATATATGAAGTCAATGTTAATTTTATCGAACATAAACGAAACAATCGAATATTCCCCAAATTAAAGTTGCAAAAGGCTACAGCACTGCAGGATCCCAAGTTGTCTCCAACCTCAGTACTGATGCAGCTCGACGATGCTTTAGGGGATGAGGCGCATTCATCGTGATATGGCCGTAGCCATTCCAAATCGTAAAGTGCTTGTTTTGGTTAATCATTCTTAATACTCTCTTCCTGTCGATTATGAGTAAATGAAGTTTGAATCAGCTGAATCAGAAGGGGTGCTTCTTGAATGTTTTTCTCTTTGTTGGACATGGACGGGATGCCTGCCAGGAATATGGCGACACTCCCGCTACAGTCTTTGACTGTATGAACTGTGAGTGACAAAAGCAGAAGCCTTTGTTTGTTCTTTAACAGAAGAGGTTGTTGAATAAAGTGCAGAAGTGGAATGATGAATTTATTCCAGTTGAATTGAAGAAAAATTTGTGCTTTGGAATGTGGTTCAGCGATACAGAATTTGAAAGTTCACATTCATTCAATGTGGCACTTGACAACA